GGGGGGGGGGGGGGGGGCCCTCTCTGTACCATGGAATCAATAAAAGCTGAGACAACGCTATCCATGTTTTGCTCAAAATAAGCTCTTGCTATAATACAGTTTTTGATTGGTATATTACGTAAAATATTTTGTTTGCACTTTGCAGATCCATTTGTGAAGGTGACATTATTGCAGGCTGGGAAACGAGTGAAGAAAAAAAAGACTGGTGTTCACCGCAACACCTTATGTCCCGTGTTCAATGAGGCACTCACATTTGATGTGAGCCGTGAGGCACTAAGAAGGAGTACGATTGAGTTTTATGTGTTGCACGATAGTCTCTTGGGCCCCAGCGAACTATTAGGACGCTCTATTGTGGGGCCTGGTTCTGACTGCCGTCCCCAAGAGCGTGACTTCTTCCATGAAGTTCTTACTAGTAAAACAGCCACTGCTCAGTGGCTGCCATTGTCTGAACCACAGTGAGGACTTGCTGCCATCAACCAAAATCATCCAACAGAATTGGTAGGCACTGCATTCTGGAGTCATGTTGTTCAAAATCAGCTCAGATTACAAAAAAATATTAAATAAAAAACGAGATCCATTACTGTGGACAAACTGAAGGGACTATGATTCTTAAACCATAGTAAAACATTCCCAGCAACATAAAACAGTGGGCCATACAAGAGAATGAATGGAAGAAGGTACTGAGAAGGGCAGTAGAATTAAAATTTAAAGGAAAGAGACACGTGGGACACTCTAGAACATGTTGGTTCAGGCAGGTACTATAAGATATCAAGAAGAGAGGGAAGAGCTGGCAAGAAATCAAAAATAAAGATTATGGGATTACAGAAGTGATTGGAGACTTCACATCCATCAACGAACATGAAACAGAAATGATGCTGGAATAGTAATACCAACAAGAACAGCAAAGATTCGTGGACAATGATCTTGGCTAGATCCAGTGAAGATTCTACCCTTGCATCTAAAACAGACAGAATTGTGAATGTGTAGGAATGTCGGATTGCAGTTTGCAGTCTGTGCGAGATGTACTAAACTGGAGAAATTGAAAATGGTCATATGCCTCCTACATATAATTCTCTTAATTGGTTTGTGAAGATAAGCCAAATATTTCTCTGAGCACAGAAGTTTGGAGCCATTAGTATACCACACATACTAATGAAATATTTATTTATATACTTGAAGACTGTTATTATTCTCTACAGTCAGGTCTGATGTAACTAACTCAAGTTTAATTGTGATTTGTATATAATGTGATTGAAATATTAGGGAACACTGTTTTCATAATGTGAGTCTATTCTGGAACTTCAGAGATGCAGTATACAGAAAAGTACTTCAGCATTTATTACTATTGAATTGTTTGTTTATATAACACAACTTTTTCAAGAATGCAACGATCACTTCATAGGAGAAATTACATTAAGGAAGTGCTTAAACTGAGACAGTTTTCCAAGAACTCTCATCTTTCCCTTCTTCTGTTCATAACCGAAGATATCACCTTTGCAGGACCTGGTGAAATTCAGCCACCACCCGACCTCCCACCTTAAAAATAAAAAAGTTTAACTTCTTTCCATCATCATAGATCCATCTAACAAATGCCAGAATATAAAATAAGTAAACAAACAACTATTAACACTATAAAAAAGACACTAGTGCCATATGCGTTTCAACCTCAACAGGTCATCATCAGTGGCATCTGGGAAATTAATTCATTTGATTAAATGAATTAATTTCCCAGATATGGCAATAGTGTCTTTTTATAGTGTTAATAGTTGTTTGTTTACTTATTTTGTATTCTAATACACTACACGGTATGCAAAGTTTTAAAAAATGCCAGAATGGTCACTTGTCCAGATTTGTGATGTGTAAGATAATGAATAATTTTAAAACTTTGACAGCGCACATACCAAGTGACACTGAATGTGTTTCAAAGCTACTCAAGTATACTAAAATCATATTGACTGTTGTGGAATATTCTAGAAATGTTGCTTTCCAAATATTTTTAAACTGAATGATGAAACCATTATCAATTGAAATAGGCGTAACCACAGGACGATATGTTGTAACTTCAGAATGCAGTGCATAGTTACCTGATGGTAAGCCTTTGTACAGCAGTTACATGCAGTTACACAATGTTTTGCATAAACAATTTCGGAATCAGAAGCAAACTAACGGACGTAGACAATTTAACCATTTAGATTTTCCAACCATGTCGAGTAAATTAACATCATCCATTGTTTTACCAGAGTATTTCATGCTAGATAAAGCCTTATTAATTTTTCTGTCTGCTCCCACAAGCAACCACCTTGTATATCCTTTGTATGTCTAAACTACCAAGTAATGTGTACCACATCTGTAACCTTTTTTGTATTTTCTGATTTTCAGATTGTATCTTTAAGATTCTTGCTCCCCCTGCTGACCACCATGATCATCTTACTCTCAGAATTTCATTGGTTGTTGATTATAAAAAATGCTTATTTGTAGCAGGCAACATAATTATCATGAAAGTGACATTACAGAATGAAGATGATACTGTTATTTAATCATAAGACATGATCTGGCTATTAAGATAATATTTGCACTTATACAACATAGTACAAAACAAAAATTCTACATTTGCTTATGTTAGATTTTTATGAGAGGTTAAACAAAAGGCTTCATAATTTTTACATTATGATAATCTACACAAATTAAATTTTGTCAGAACTCCTACTTGTTTTGATACAACAGTCTAGTTTTAAATATGTCACAGAAGTTGACATAGCACAGTGGATCTAAGATCATATTTGTTGATATTCAACAATCTTGGTTGACATAATGAACTGAGAATGGTATAAACTTAACTAATGATAAACTAAGTCAAGTTGTTATCCACAGATTACTCTGGTGGCTGTAGTACAAAGGCTGCCAAGCTTTGACTTGAGCCTAAGGCAAACATAATGTTGTGTTACAACTTAAATATGTATGTTCACACGAGGGTTTAAACTTATTGTGATTGTTGATGTACCTTTAAGACATTAAGTGTAATAATGTGGGATAAACAATCCATTATGTATATAATATCAATCTATGTTTCTATGTGTTTACTGTAATGGTCAAGAAAAGGCTTTCAGCTGTAAATGAAACTGTTAAAGTAATTTCTGTAATTATACTATTTTCATCTACATAGTCTGATGTTTTTATTCTTCTATAAAATAGTTTTTGTGATGAGTAGGACATGAGATGCTTAAAAATATACAAAGAAGGTATACCTCTGATTATTTGCAATGTGAGGGATTGCTTGACAAGAAAACATCTGTCTCATACAAAAATTGGGAAGAAATCAAAATCATTTTTGTTGGAGTAAGTGCTATTTTTAGTTGTCTTTTCATACCAGTGTAATTTTTTGGTACCCTCAAGTATCCCTTCCAAATGGCATGTATTGCTTATTCAGCCCTGAATTGCAGTGCCGTTTTTATGAGATGGTTTTGTTTTTCACTTAATTGCTACTATTCTAGACAGCTTAATGGCTTTGTTATCTGTAGCCAATAAAACACTGATTGAGACTAAAATCATGGTTGAAGATGGTTGTCTTCTGGGTTATAGCGGCATGTAGCGTGATAAAAGTTTACCAACATTCCATAGTTCTTTGCTGCCTCCCATCATCAAAACCATCTTCGTACTCACCACTGTGAGAACCGTGAATCATACTAAAGGCATGCTTGGTTGTATATATATGATATATGGGTGTGGGAGCACAATTAGAATTGTGCAGTGGGAGGGGCTTTACAAATAATTAGTTAAGTCTAAATTACCATTATATTACTGAGAAACATATATCTTGGGATTTGAGCCAAAGACTCTCCAAACCCAAATTAAAAGCTTCACCATAAACTACTTCGGTGAACATTGCTATTAAAATTAATTACTTAATTCTCAGACAGAGACTGTCACAGAAAAATTGGTTCACTAGTAAGTGTTGATACTTTTTTGTCCCCCACCCCATCAGTCACACATGCACACACTGAAAGCATTGTGCCTCATTCAAAGCTGTTCTGAGCCTTGCTGGTCACAGAACTCCTGATTTTCTGGGACCATCCCACATATAGTTCAAATGTTTCAGTAACTCCAAGTTTATTTAAAACAATCCCCCCCCCCAAGATTTTCTTCCATTAATATTAAATTACATTGTAAAATGTTATACAAGAACAAGGAAACAGTTTGGTGGTCTGTACATGGGTCAGAGCTCACAGCCAATAAAAGACTGACATTTGTTTTTAATTGTAATTAACTGTCCAATATTTTAATCTTATAGTGTTGGAATCAACTAGTATCTGGCAGAATATGCATATAGTTTAATTTTTAAATTTATTTTGCATTGTACTGTATATTATTAATTATAAAGCGACCAAAAACAAAATAAGTTCATCACAGATTATAAAATGGGTATCAATTGTCTGTGCTTACAACCCTTCGTTTCTTAGAACACGTTCCAGAATACTCTGGCGTGTTGCGTGGTTTGTGAAAATCCGGCATTGTAAATTCTCACGTATTATATGGACGTACTTTAACACATTGAGTATAAAATCGTACTTGGAACACATATTTGAACCTATTAAATAGAAATATATAGCATTTTTCTCGCAACAGGAACTTTGTGATTCCAGAAATGTTAACGTAGACAGCACTTTAAACTCGTGTAACCAGTGTATGTGTCACATCAATAATCATGGTCAATCAATTGCAAGTTGCAATTGACCATGGGGTGGGTGGTGTAAATAATCTAAATAGCCGATAGAATCTTTGATGATACCGCTTATAAATATTCACTTTTAGTATAATGCGAAAAATATGCAGTCTGAAGATGCAAGGTATTTGAAAAGGTAAGTGAAACAATTGTGACATAAAAGTTGTGCGAAAATTTACTTTCAGTGAAATGATTTTGGGGAGGGTCAAATTAGTTGTATACGCAATTGTCAACCCGTAGGGAGTATTCGAAGACGATTTGTATATTATGTAATATGCGTGATTATAAGATTTAATGTTATTGCAACTAAAATTCTATTACTACCAAAATTGTTTCGATTTAAAGGTTACACTTTCCACGAGAGAAATGCATATTTCTACAGGCTTGTTACATAAGCGAATGTTGTGTACGGTACAGATTGTGTGACTTACGCGAAATAAAGTTTATATCGCGAGCGATTCAGTTGCAATTGATTTAAAACAGTTTCTTCAATTTTTCATCTCATGGTTGATGTATTTATCACACAAAATTCTTATTTGTCCAATGACTGCATGAAAAGGTAACGTTTTGGATAGTATTGTATAATTTAATTTCTGGGGTTTATATACAAAATATGCAAAATATCCACTGTGTAATTTAACAAACTAAAATAAAGTGCCAAGACTTAAAAAATACAAATGTAAGGATCATAAGAATATTCATTATATTTTCTTGTATTAATACAAATAATTATGGTACTTAAGTATAGCATGAAAGTGTATTAAAAACAAATATTTTCGGTTTTAGACCTGTGTGCCACACAGGATTTTGGGCTTTTTAAATAGGTCCTTGTGCAAGAAAGTATTGCCTGCGATCTTTACAGTGGGAAGCCAGTGACTAACAGTCTGTGCTGACAGACCAGGATCTGTCTTTAGTAAATTGTATTCGAATATGGTAATACCTGATAAATACTAAATGCACTGAGTATGTAGATTTTACAAATAGAGCAAAGTCAAACTTGGTCAATACTTTTGTTCTTGATGGTACATATATCACCACCCACATTAGTTTTCACATACCTCCTGTGGTATTAAAACTGGTACTCAAACAATAATTCGTGTTGTTTTAGGATTTATTGTATCCTTAACTCTACTATTTAAGCTGTCTGTAACTGTCTTCCTATTCCATAGATTTTCTGTGTCACTTAAGGCATTCCTTAAGTCCTTGCCTCAAGAGAGTCATAACTGCAATTTTCTCAATCAGTTTTACAGTTATATTTACACTTTTGTTCAGTTTTAACGTATTCCTATGCCAGAAAATTAACCCAAGTTCAAAGTCTTCCTAGAGCTGTTGATACTGGGATGATCAAAAACCCTGAATGTTCATTACTGCATTTGTAGAAACTTGCCACTGAATCCTGTCCTGAGCCAGTTTAATCCAGTTCATTTCCTCTCGTTCTTTAAAGTCCAGTTAATAGTATCCACAAATGATCTGTATTGAAATGAATTAGAATTTGTTTACATTGCATAGATCCTTTATAGTACAAGCCATGTACATGGAACATGTCATAGTATGAATATGAACATTTAATACAAAAAAAATACCAAAAGAGATTTATAACTGCATACCTATTACAGCTATTTACATAAATGTTTGCCATATTTCATAATTTCCAATTGAAGTAATTTTTCTACTGACTAGGAGGAGTGAGATACTTTAATGACCAGTGTATAACTTTGTGGCATGATTGTAAGCACACATATAAGTTCATCTGCTTCATCCATTTTACTTAGTTGAAAACCATGTTTGTTACTTTAAGAAACACTTTCTCATATATAACAATCTTAGATCAGAGTTATTCTAGAAAATGTGATAGTCAGCAACTCAAGAAATGCCATGTTCATAAAGGCCCATGATTGGACCCTATCCTGAGCCAGTTTAATCTATTATGTACTTACACGCCCTATTTCTAAAAGATTTGTTTTTATATATCCTCCCGTCTATGCTTATGTCTCTTACAAAGCCCCTTCATTTGAGAGTTCCCAACTAAAAGTGCACATACATGTCTAGTCCTTCATGCTTATAGCCAAGAGTATACACTCAACTAGTAGTCTCCTTCATCAGTGGTATCCCGAGTACACTCTTGGCATTTGCAGGAAAGACAAATCATTATTGCTGTGCTGTCTGTTGGATTTTTCTCATTTGGGCCACGAGGCCCTGAAACATTTTACTTCCCCTTTTTTACATTGACATTGTATCACCAGTAAACAACATGGGGTTTTCTTGCCTTTTTCATGGTCTGAATTTGTAAAAAATTGAAGTTTTACGGTAACCTCTCAACAGGAACATTAGAATTTGGTAGTGGGAGTGAATTAGATAGTGATAAAGATGAAAAGAGTGTTGTGGTTGAAAAACCACCAGATAGTGAGGACTTGAAGCAGATATTGTGAGTGACGCAGAAGAAGAGGTAGTGAGTAATTTGCTTTTTAGATGGCCACAGGAAATCGTCATGGAAAACAAGGATTTGTAAAAACTGAGAAGAAAAGGGGGATATGATACTAATATAGGTTTCAAGGAAATAGTTTCTGAGAATGGTAGGTAGATGGAGCTGGCTCAGGATTGTGTGATGGCAGGCTTTGATAATAAGCCTTGATCCTTTGGGTTCTGCTACCACAGAATTAGTTACTTTGCCTTAAAATGATACATATTAAATTTATAGTCCATAGGCTTTCATGGCTGGAGTTCAATGTATAACTCATACTTTAAAGCCAGAGTTATACATATAAAAAATTTTTGCTCTGCAGAACAGAATTTTGTTCAGCCTAGTTATTTATTTATAGTTTATTTAACTATGATTTTTCTGTAACTCAGACTGTATAGCATTGAAAGAGAGGATGATTGTGAATAATGAATTTGGAAAGGACGTGGAAGAAAGCAGTTGTGGCCTAATTGAAAGTACTATCCCAGCATTTTCCTGGACCAAGGAAAACCATGAGAATCCTCAGTTAGGGTAGCCAGTCTCCAGGCCAAGATTTGAACTCGGGACTTCCAGAATACGAAGAAGGAGTACTAACCATTTGACGACATTCGCTGCCTTAACCTGTTCTATGCTGAGTTTTATTTAGCATACATATGAACACAAGTTTTTTAGAGAGGGTGGTCATTATTTCTAAATGAGATGTCTCATTCATAGCATGGAGAAAGTTTAGCTGTGTAGAGTATTAGAAATAAAATATTCCCTCTTCCTCTTTCTTCCTGTTCCTCGAATATTAAAACTGAACATTCATTACTTCTTACCATTATTAGGGATACATATCTTGAGCCCTTGATTCATGAGCATTGTTCTTTATGTACAGAAAAATAAGATCTCGTTCAATCGATGTCCACCCAACAGAGAAAGCCTTAGTGGTAAACTATGAATTGGAGGCTCTCATCCTTGGAGACCTGGGCGATCCATTACTTGGTGACCGTAAGGTAAGCAACTTAAATAGATTGTTTTGCATGATGGTGTCACATTCACCGTCTTCACCACTGTTAGAACCTTGTGTTACAAGTAGATTAAGGATATTTGTGAATAGGGTACTGAGGGGAATACTTGGACATAAGAGGGAGGAAGTAACAGGAGAATGGAAAAACTTGTTTAATGAGGAGCTTCATAATTGGTACTATTTACCAAATATTATTAGAATGATCAGGTTGAGGCATGTGAGATGAGAAAGGCGTGTAGCATACATGGGAGAGAGGAGGTCATACAGAATTTTAGCTTAATTTATTTGGGATGATAATATTAAAGTATGTCTTAGAGAAGTGGGATGTGATGATGTAGATGTCTGTACTTCTACTTTTCATACAGAAACTGTATAAAACCTAAGAGAACAGATGATCTCTAGAACAGATTCCAGACATCTTGAATACATTACACTTCAGATGTATTTGGCATTATTCATTGTTTGGGGGATATTTTATATACATAACATTTTAGGAGTTTTCTCTATTCCTGTTTTACATTTCACGTTGTTGTTATTTTGTGAATAAAGAAAGGACAGAAGTTGTTTTTGTGTCAGTGAGCCTCATATAAACAATCTACACTTTGGCTGCCAGTATGAATAAATGGTTGTATGGAACAGTTTGCCAATTTGAGGTCCTAAGTTGAAACAACATTTTGAAGAATTCGTCGTATAACTTACACATTTTTATATTTTGATCTCAAAATGCAATGGTATGATATGGTATGAGTTCAGACACAATATTGTCAGTTCTTGCTTATGATGTATATTGAAGTTTTTCTATTAACCTTTGGTACCAAGTTGATTGAAAATGGATTAGGAAATTTTATTTGGTTTTAAAATATGAATTGGTGTCTTCATGGTTTAATAATAGTAAATTATTAATAGTATATCTACAGTTGTCATAAACTGTGAATGCAGTATGAAGCTTAAACCAGTGCATACAGCTGGCTGTGTCTTTTCAAATGTAGTTTTTGCTATCTGCATAGAGTAAGGAATACTTAGGAAGATTATGTCTAGCAAACACAGAATCCCAGGATAAATATGCACTGAGAGAGGAGATTCCACTTCCATGAACTTTAGAAATATCTTCTTTGCATTTTTATTTTCTGCTGCTTGTATTGATGATGCACATATATCGTTTCTTTATTGTTAAGTTTCATTATGCCTGGATGACAAGAGCCAGGGTAACGCAGCCAGTATAGTGGACTGGACAACTGGGGTTTGATCCCATACAGCCTCTGCACCCAGACCAGCTCTGGGGCCCACTTAGCCTTCTGTCCAATGGTACCAGGGTTCTTTCCCCAGGGGTAAAGCGTGGATGGATCATGCTGCTGACCCCTCACCCCCATCTAGTTCCTAGATTAAGAAATAGTAGGAGCTATACATCCTCTCTCCCTAAGCACCAACATGGCGTGTAGCAGGACAGCTTTGAAGATGGCTGTCTTCTGGGCTGTTACACCGTGTAGTGTGGTAGGAGTTTACCGACAGTTTGAAGGTCCACAGTGCATCCATCTGCCAGGCTACATGACACAACAGCCAAGAAAACAGCCATCTACAAACTCACTGCTATGAACACCTCAAATCCTACAGGACAGCTTTACTTTTTTTTAAAATGACAGTGACTGACAGTTTCCTTTCGACAGGAGTGCCAGAAGATAATACGTCTGAAGAGTCTGAATGGAGATACAAATTGTGCAGCATTAGCAAAAGAGGTAGTAGGAAAATGCAGTCTTATTCATCCCAGTAAAATAGACGAAGTAGAGCAGCTAATTTACTACTTACAGAGCAGAAAGGATGCCACGTCTGGTTCCAGTGGTGAGTAAATTAGACATACTTGGGTCACAAATACCATTTTGCATATTTTGTAAAATCTGAGGGGAACCAATTACTACTTAATAAAGAAGGATGGAGGACCATGCAATATGCCATTTACAAAGAACAGATGAGATTAATGACAACTGTTAAGTTACAAAGAAATGTGGCTTAAAGTTCCAGCCGTGGAACAAGGTGATTCGTCACGACCCAGTTCGTCTTGTTTGGGTACAGACAGCCCAACTTCTGCTGCTGTTGCAGCTGAGAAGGCCAGTATTAACAATATCGAAGGCTACGTGGAACTTCTTTACGAAGACATTCCTGAGAAAGTGGCTGGCTCAGCTCTGATCCTGCAGCTGGCCAGGAATCCAGATAACCTTGAAGAATTAGGAAGTAATGGTATGTGAACATATGTTATACTTGGTCTTTTCAAATTACATGCAATAAATATAAGTATTGTATTCTGCTCCTAATATCAATCCAGAAAACTTTTATGTGGTCACAACTGATTTCTTATTCTTCTTCTATGGCTCTCCGGTCCGTATTCGGTCCATGGCCTTGTCAGTTCTCCTCTTCCATTCGGTCCTTCTGTTAGGTCTGTCTGTCCGAGGTTGAGGTTTCGAAACATCTTCCTTTTTACGGTGCAAGGTTGTTAGCCTTGCAACCTGGAGGACCAGGGTACCTGTCTTAGTCTGACCTTTCCCCCTCGACCAATCTGGCTAGGGAGGCCCTACCAGTAGCTGTGCTACCACCAGCATAGCTCTTGGGGTCACTGAGGTACTCGAGCCCCACCACCACGACAAGGTGCAGGTACCATTAAGTGGGGAATTTCTTATTTAGGTTATACAATATTTCAAGTAAATCTCTTTTTCAGATGCTGTATTGAGTGCCTTGTCACGAATTCTGCGAGAAGACTGGAAGAAGAGCATTGAACTAAGCACAAATATTGTTTACATCTTTTTTTGCTTCTCCACTTATTCTCAGTTTCACCATGTTATTCTTCAGTATAAGGTAAGATGTGGCAGGTGGTGCATTACTAAAAACATGTCAGTAGCAAAACCATTATACAAGAAAGATAACAAAACTAGTGTGACAAATTACAGGCCAGTTTCACTGTTAACTACTTTCTAATGTACTTGAGAAGGTTATTTGCAGTAGGTTTAGTCATCATATGCATACTAACATTGGTCCCAGAACAATTTGACTGCTTCAGACAAAGTGTATCCAGCCTTAAAACGAACATTGTACCAAAATCTGTTACCAAAATATGCATGCTACATTACATTTCTGTGGCATTCAAGGAATAGCTGCAAAATTGTTCAGTAAAATTAAAAAAGAAGGTTGAAGTAAAATTACATAAAAGCAAACAGAATTTTTCTCATACTGGGGAACAGTAAAATTCTTCACCAAATATTATTATGTCAGATAAAGGAGAATGAGATGTGTAGGGCATGTAACATACATGGGAAAGGTGAGAAATGCATACAAAATGTTATTTAGGAAGCATGAAGGAAGACCCAGGCATAGATGAGAGGATAATATTAAAATTGATTTTAAATGCGTGGGCTAGGAGGTGTGGACTGGATCTGGCTTAGAACAGTGACCAGTGGTGGATTCTTGTGAACACAGTAATGAGTTTCTTGACTCCATAAAGGGCAGATATTTTTTGGACTAGCTGAAGAACTTTGCTCCATGAAGTTGGTCTTTTCATGTGATATCCAGATCAGAATACACCTTTCTGGTTTTATCTTCTGAAAACACTGCTTTTATTGATGACAGCATTATTTATGTTTAGTACTAGACAGTTGCTTCCCATCTAATTTCTAGGAACCTGAAAATTAAAGTATACAAAACAATAGTTTTTTGCCTGTTGTTTTGTATGGGTGCAAAACATGGTCTCTCACTCAGATCGAGGAACACAGATTGCAGGTGTTTGAGAATAGGGTGTTGAGGAGGATATTTGGGCTTAAGAGAGAAGACGATGGGGAATGGAGAAATCTGCATATTGATGAGCTTAAAAATCTGTACTCCTCCCCCAATATTGTCAGAGTGATTAACTCGAAAAGAATGAGATGGGCGGGACATGTAGCACACATGGATGGGACAAGAGGTGTGCACTGGGTATTGGTTGGGAAGCCTGAGGGGAAGAGACTGCTGGGGAGACCTAGATGTAGATGGGAGGATAATCTCAGGCGGGATCTATGGGAGATAGGAGTTGAAGGAGACTGGATTTTGTTGGCCCAGAACAGGGTCTGGTGGAGGGCTTTGGTTAATTCAGTGATGAACGCTCGTGTTCGGTAAGCCAACTAGTTAGTTAGTTAGTATCTCAGACCATTTTACATCCAATAAGATCATGGTAGTGAATAACGACAGTTTGCAAATTCCGTGTGCGCGTGTCAGCAACAAATTATCTGTCTTGGTTTATGTAACTGGGGGAACTTGGTACAAGAGTTCGGATTAATTTTAATCAAATCGTGTAGGACTGATGGATGTTGAGTCACATGTCTGGAATCTCACACATTCTCTTCTCCCTCTCCCAGTCACGTGACTAGAGAAACAGTCTTAACAATTCTTAGACACATTTTATTTTCCGCTACAGTTACTCATAAAAGTCATGCGTTATGAACGGTTGGTTAATTCGGTGATGAACCTTCGGGTTCGGTAAGCCATCTAGTTAGTTACTAGACAGTTGCAGGCACATTGTACTTTGTTCTATTGTCGGCTTTACTTTTGAGTAGAATTCATGGTTGGCATTGCTTGTAGGTTGGGTCGCTGTGCATGGAAGTAATAGACTATGAACTACGTAGGTATGACCAATGGAAAGATGATCTAGAAATTCGTCGTCGTAAATGTGAAAGTGGCAATGCACCAAGTCAAGCCCAAACCCAAGTGCACGGGTCCACGACATCTGTTGATATTCGCAGAAGAGTCAGTGATGGGCTCAGTAATCACAGTACAGAAATTTCCTCAGAACTGCGGAGAACAGTATCTCACATTCCTGTAGCAGCTGGAGATAATCGAAGGAGGACGGTAGATGGTGTACATAGTCCAGGGGAAAATTGGGAGTCAAGAAGAAGACAGCTTGATGGTGTGTGCAATTCAGTCACTGCTCCTATTGATCCAAAAGAAGAATTGAAGAGAATGAGAGAAGACTTTGAGAAGATGAAACGCAAGTTCCAAAATCTCATCAAGAAACAAGATCAGTTGCTTAGAGGTAAGTGTTACTATTTACTGTTCCACATTTCAGGTTTTTAAGTTTAAAGGTATATGTCAAGAGTGGAGCAGTATACAAAAATAAGGAAGAAAAATAAACATGTAAAATAACTGTCCAGGTTTTCTTTTGATATTAACATCCCTGTAAAGCTTGGTCCTTAAAGACCCTAACAGACTAGAATATATTTCATCTGACGCCTAATCTTTCTCAGTGAGGAGGTTATGACAGGGCTTTGAAAAAAGTCAAGAAGAAATCTTGGAGACAATTGTAAATAGTTTATTGTTGTAGATTTTAATTGAGTTATATTTTAGAATGGTAAGTTTTTGGTGAATAGAAAGTGTTGTAATGGATTCAGCTTTTGAATATACTGATGTACGGTGTGGGTTTTTATATTCTTACTAATTTGCCATTCTGTCATAGTACGTGGAAGAAAGATGTGGGTCACTCAACAAATGTGTAAGGAAAATTTGTCACTCAATGTTGATCGCAACAGGAAAGTCAGTATACTGAAAGTTCATGATAATCATTGACTGAGAGAGTATAAGACCTTTAAGTTTCTGCAATATAAGAATCATGTAAAATTCACCTGATGTTATCAACACATGTAGCAGTGTTTATTTGATCGTCAGCTGTGAGTGACAGACGTCTCCAAGAATATTATATTGTTTATCATCAGATACACTCACAGTCATAGATAATCTAACAAAAATATTAATTAATTATATCATTTAGCTCTACTTGCTTTAGCTATTGACAAAATCCTCTGAGGCAACACAATAATATTGGCTGAATCCATTATGTTTATAATAAATTTTTGTTCCATTCCATTACATATGGCTGCAAGGGTAAGCAGATTGTCATTTAAAGATGTGTCAAAATAATTAATAGTATGAGATTAAGTCATACTGTATATTGTAAAATGTTCCGTATATAACAAGTAACTATTAATTGTCAAAAAGCTGTCCTTGGGTGACTCATAAAGTTTGAGCTGTCATTACCATACATGCCAGCATGTGTGGTTTCTGCACAGTAAAGAGCTGATGTATTTTAGCTGTATCATCACAAAATTGCATGATATGGTCTTGTAACTTGACCACCATGATAACCAGACTTGAAACACATAGACTTCCTTTGCCAATGTCCATGCGTATCTATGAGTCTTCAGACTTGTATAGGCATTATCATTATGCCAAAGAATTTAGAATGCTGCCTCTTTCACCTGTTGCCAATATCTTTAGTGTTACGCAGCAGTCCATGTGACTTTGACTTTGTGTGGCTTTAGTATCATAAGGAGCTGGACAGTTTAGACCAGTGGTCCCCAACCTTTTTGTGCCTACGGGCACATTTGAGAGTTTATGGGATCGTGGCGGGCACCAACCGATTAACAAAGCCAAATTTTCTTTTCTCTGGACAAATAAGATATGGACACCAAATAATACACAAAACAACACGACATTTAACGATACAAGAAACCATGCAATCAAAAATACGTAGTTTTATAAGTACAATTATTATTACTCAAGTGGGAAGTTAGTGTGATGTTTGGC